CAGTAGTTCTGTCAGATACCTGTGTACACACGTACATATACATGTACACACACGTTCACCACCACCACCAGGACCACATTCTGCCCATCAGGAATTAAACTGCTACTCTGATTTCTCACCTTACTCAGTCTGTTTTCAACCTGTTCCTTATTCCATGGCATACCAAGAGTGGAGTGGTACATATTTGCAGAGAATTTTACACGACAATAAAACTGGCTTAACGTTGGTTTGCTTTTTATTACCACCATATGCTTTCTAAAGAACGTCAGTGACAAAATATTCCTCCTAGCAAGGAGTGCTGCTTGCACAGTCCCCTCCCTTGGTAGCAAATCACTACCAAGTCTGGTTGATGTGGTCATGAGTGCCCATGTGCCATTGGCTGGGCAAGGTGCTGCAAGAGTTTCAGACAGGCGTGTGATGTCTTTCCTGCCTTTGAAGAGCAGGGGCACCAGACAGGTACTCAGACACTAGAAACCATCAGTCTCTCTGTGGTTCAATTTACTGCCTGTATGACCTGCTTCCCCAAAGCAGCTTCTCTGCCAGCTGCCCTGGATGGGCCCTATCCTCACCCTTCCTAACTTGATGCCCTCAAGCTGCCCTGCACTTGGAGCCTTACCGTTTTTCCTCATCCTGGGAAAAAAAGAGACTCTGACCCTTTGGTCTTACTTTCTCCCATGCCCATCTTTGCCTCCCTTTGTCTCCAGTGTCCAGATCACCACTTAACCCTCCTCTTTGCTCCTGAGTGGTACCTGAAAATGCCTTCCCTAAAACCTTGGAAACATACCTGGGGGAACAAAAGTGAAATGGTCGCTCAGAACTGGCTATCTGAAAAACCTATAGCTGGGCAGTCTGAGGCCCCTTTCCTGTGCCCATGGAAGTGGTGTTTCCCCAGCAGTCTTCTCTGGAAAAGAGGTTCACTGGAGAGGGCAGGGCGTTACTCCATCAGCTTTAAAAAGAAGCACTCCGTGGAACAGAAAGAAAGAAAAGCCATCCACCCAGGTTAACCTGAGCCTTGTAACAGAGAGGGGAGTGTGTGAGGAGAACAAGAGGGAGATACAATTAATTACCCTTAGAAGCAAAGGTAAAAGTTGAAGATTACGAGACCCATTTACAGGAGGAAATAGACCCATCATTGAGCCTAGAGAATGGAAGGATTGTTTAGGGCCAGAAAAGCGTCTCAATGTTCAGATTTCATTCCTTTTCTGGAGCTTTGGAGAGAGGAAGGTCACAGCTTGGGCTTGGAAGGTACACTTAGCAGTGGGCTCAGACCGGGAGGGGGGCTGCTGTCTTGGGCTCGGTTCTGGGCCCACAGACTGCCCCCTCCCTGAGGGAATAGGAGCTGGAATCCTCTCCAGGAGCCCATGTGGGCTGGCCGTCGCGAAGGGGTAACCCTGTGTGAGGCCCCTGCATTAACATCACAACAGCTGATGTCACAGACCCCGCAGAGCAGCTGGGGCTCCAAATGCAGGGTAACCCTAACCCCAGCAGTGATGGAAACAGATAGAGGGGTGGTGCCCCCCGCACAATGCCTGGCCCCCACCGCACCCCTCCTCCTCCCTGCACTTCCTCAGGAGCCTTTGTCTTCTGGTCTCTTGGGCCTGGAGTCTCTCTCATTCCCAGCAAATATTGTCCATTAAATTCAAAGCTGAGGCCTCCGGGGAAAGGGTCTGGCACTTTTTCTCCTGCCTCCCCTTATCTTCCAGTAGCCATTCCCCACCCTCATCTGCCTGGTGAGCAGATGAGACACGGGGCAAGCTGGCGACGGCTTCACATCTGTCCCTGGTTTGGTTTGGTTCCCCGCAGAGCCCTCTCTGGACAAGGCCTTGGGCAAGAAGACATTGTCCCCGTCAGTGCTGACTCAGAAGCTGTGGGAAACATTCGGGGGGGTGAGTTGGGTTCAGTTTGGCTTTGACAGCCCAAGCCTCTGTACTGGACCCTCTGGTTTGCGATCCCCTCAACCAGGTGGAAGTCTCTGTATTCTTAGAAGTACAGGGTCCTCGTGCCTCCCTCAGTACCTTGAACTGGTTTGGGGAGATCAAGCTTAGGAACGGTGGTTGTACTGGTCTTTAGGTGTGACCTGGGGATCGTGTGAGGGTTCCTGGAAGAGCGGGGCGGCAGGGCTGCAGGTCTTGAAAAATCTCCCTGCCAGAACTCTACGAGGCAGGGAGAGGAGGTAACTGCTCAGAGTCTGGCTTTTCCTCACAGGGAGATCTATACTTCCAGAGGGATTTGGTTATTATTCAGGATTTCAGTCCTGAATCTTCCTTAGACATTGATGAAAGCCATGTACCTTCCAGCCAGAAAAATGAGTGGATGCAAGCCTGCGCGCCTGTACATGCATTCACACACACACACACACACACACACACACACACACTCCAAGGGTTCATGGACCTCTGGTCAAGAACTCCTGAATTCTAAAAGGAGGAATACATTTTGGCAGAGAAGGTTCCAGGTGGAATTCAGGGGCAGATTCTACCCGAAGGACTGGCTCAGCTCTGAGCCAGGCAACTGGCTGGCTGATGTGAAGGGCTTGTTCCTCTGTGTCTACACAGGTGCTCGAGGGGCCTCAGTACCATTAAGCCTGTGATGGGCTTGGGGAGTGGAAGCCAGGAGGCAGAGAAGCTGTGGACACTTCTGTCCAATGCTCAGCCACAAAATGTTGTGGAATTTGAGGGGAGGGAGGGAAAGGCCTGAAAGAGTTCATGTGCTGTGGCTAGGAACTGGCTAGGCATATCGACCATTCATAGGTCATTTACACTTCACAGCAAGCCTGTAAATTAGGCACTAGGTTCTGCTTTCACTGAGGATTATGAGATTTAGGGAGTTAATTGTTCAAAGTCAGCCAGCTAGTAAGTGGCACAGCAGGAAGTGAAGCCCAGGTCTCTCAGGCACCAAAGCCCAGTTGCAGTAGTCAGACTTGTTAATAACTGAAGAAACTCTCTCCAGCCTATTCCCATGGCTTCCATGCCAGCCTCGGGGCCAAGAAGGCTGGGTGTTGTTACACAGACATTTCGGGCCTTACTCACCATGGTTTCAGATATGCCTACCAGGTCCCCACTCTCCTCCCAGTGTACACCAGACTTGTGCCAACTTTTCACTCTAATGTGGTCGGCACCATATTGAATTTAATTCCTTCAAGGCCCAGCTAATGAACATCCTGATTTCCCTGTGCTGTCTTCCCTGACCAGACCCGTTCCTACACCAGACCGTGATGCCTGTCCCTCCCTGCCACCGAGCTCTAAGGCGGGCTCATTTCGCTCCTTCCTCTAGATAATCCCTCCTGGCCCCATCTTACCCAGGAGCCTTTCCATGGCAGGGCTGGTGTTCAACACACACTGAGCCCCCAGTTACCTAGCCTGGTGCTCCCCACAAACCAGGCATGTCAAGGGTTATTCCTCTTGATGACGATGACGATGCCAGTGTTAACTGTAGAGACAGGAAAGCCTGGCCCAGTAATTTGGAATGTTTCCAAGGCCACAATTCGACTCCTTGCCTTGTCTGGCAGGCAGGCTTTCTCCTCCCCTCCAGGCTTCTGCCTGCTCTAGTCCTCAGTTCAGCTCAAGGGGTGCAATGGCCATCATCCCGACCACCAACCATGGCTGCAGTGTGCAAAAGGGGCGGGAGAACAAAACACCGTGAGACGACACTGTGGCTTTTGAACAGGTACGTAGGCTGTCTTATTTAATAGCAGTTAAAAGAGGAAAACGTACAGGAGGAATAAACATGCTCTTTCCACATAAGAGGTTTTCTACTAACCTTGAGGCCCATCTGTATCAGTAGCTTACTGGTTTTAAAGAAAAAAGTTCCCTTTAGAGTTAAAAATGGACTTTCCTAAATATCCCCCATAAATGTGCAAAATAAAAAGGCCATTTCCAACACATTAGTGAAAAGTAACTGCAAACTCAGGCAAAAGAAAGAAAAACACAAGAGGCAATGGAAGCAGCCAGGTGCAGAGTCTTGGGAGAAGCGAGGCTACGGTGAGGGGGATTTCTGCGGCAGGCCCCAGGGAGTGTGCTCGGAGGCCTCATGGGGAGAGTCATGGGCAATGCCAATCTTGGGGATAAAGGGCCCTGGGCCTGGGATTTGCTGAGCAAGAACTTGTCAAGTGTGCAGGCTGACTTGGAGGCCTGGGAGACAATGAAAATACTGGGGACTTCTCCCTGTAAGCCTGTATATTCCCTTTACCAGTGGGGACTCTCTGTTGTTTCCAATTTCCAGGTCCTGTTCTTCCCCATCCCCAAGAGCTTCATTTACAGTCTACTGAAAGTGATTTTGCTATGAGATACGTTAAAACTGTACCAGCTGCCTAAAGTACTACTGAAACCCACTAGGGTCCTGAACCTGACTGTCCCTTCAGGAATATGGACCTGGTTTTCCCAAGAACTCAGCCAACTAGAAGACGGAAAGACCTCCAGGCACCCATGTTCTTGCGTCTTACTGAGGCCTCCAGGGCACTTCTACACCTCTGGGCATTTGAGCCCAGATGTCAGGAGTCTGAAGGGCATGGACACCCATGCTTTGCACAAGTCCTCACAAGGGCTGGCGCAGCTAGAGGCCTATAGACAAAACTGAAAACTCCTACTTCACCAATTCAAACAGCTTGGACATTGCTGGTCTCTGTTTTTTTACCTTTCTCTGCTCACCAAGAGTGTGTCCCCACAGACAACTCAGTAGCTGCATGTTGGTTTCGTTACGGAAGGCTGAGGCAGACCGAGAGGGAAGAAGGGATCTAGCAAAGGATCCACCCTATGAGTCTTGGGCTTGAATAAGCGTTATCTGTAGAGGGACCTCTGTGTGCAAGGGGCAGAGTAACCCCCGTTCCTCCACCCTGTTCACTTTCTCTTCTATAGCACTGTTTCTCCAGGGTGCAGGTTTTTTTTTTTTTTTTTTTTTTGCGGTACGCGAGCCTCTCACTGTTGTGGCCTCTCCCGTTGCGGAGCACAGGCTCCGGACGCGCAGGCTCAGCGGCCATGGCTCACGGGCCCAGCCGCTCCGCGGCATGTGGGATCTTCCCGGACCGGGGCACGAACCCGCGTCTCCTGTATCGGCAGGCGGACTCGCAACCACTGTGCCACCAGGGAAGCCCCAGGGTACAGGTTTGAGACCAGGCCAGCAATGATAACAGTTGAAAAATATTGTGATATGCTTAAGGTTCTCTCCATTCCACTTCAAAGCCTCAGCACGCAAAGCGGAAGAGATCTTGCTGTAAACTGGCATCTAGTGAAGGAGGGTGCTTGGGGCCCTTCTGAAGCAATGGGATTAGTGTGGTCATTTCTCGTTCTTTTCTAATAAAGTCCAGAGCCTGAGAGATGGTATTTTGGGTCTCATTCCCACGGACCCCTGCGTTTCCTTGGCTATGGAAGTTCTGGGTGGCAGCACTCATCTCTGAGCCTCATTCTAAGACCTGGGCAAACTGCCTAGTCCCTAGGATGAGCCTCAGAAGGCTTCTGCAGAGCCCACACGCAGCCTGGTCTCCAGCTTTGAGGAAGCCTGCCTGTCGGTGTGCATATTTTCTTCCTCATGGTTTTTAAGTCGTGATACAATATTTGGTGGGGGTGTGTGAAAAAGGAAGCACTGCCTTCCCTAGAAGCAACTCAGCAGCTGACAAAGGGAGTGAAGAATTCTGTCGGATGAGTCTTTCCTTCCACTAACCCAAGCTGGAAATGACCGTGTGGCTTATTTGTTGTTGTTTCGTGATGCACAATTATACTCTTGCCAGTAGCCTTAGTAGCATCTTCCTGAAGTGTCTTAAAGGGCAGATTCCTCTGCCTGACCTCATAGTGAAGCCCTTGCATTAAGTCTCGGGAGCCCATTTGGGACAGAGGACACAGCCTCCAAGCTAGCTGGTCCAGGCTCCTTTGCAAACGCCAGAGCTTGAGGGATAGGATTACAGGCAATCCTTCTCAGACGAAGCCAAAAGATAGCTATGGGGATCTCAAAAGGGGATGGAAGCTTTGGGCTAGAGCAAGAAAAGCTTATCCAGTATATGACTTAGTGAGGGACAGCTGTGCCATGGGTAACAAACCACTAGCCATGGCTGACCCGCTCTACTTCACGGTGACAGTGGTTCCATCCCTAAAGGCATCCAGTCCAGCTATAGCTGTCCCCACAGTACAGAGTTGATGACATTTCCTTTAAAGATGGTGGCCAGAAAGTTGGCTTTAAAACACAAAGGAATGATTCCAAGGTTTTACCTAAGGGTAAAGTAAGGGCCATTTTCAGGCTTCTGGAATCCTACTATCCCAATGACACTGCTGGAAGAGGCCAAGTCTGAGACTCTGTCTATGGAATAACTGTTGACCTATGCCCTGAACCAAGTACCCTGACCCTGAAAGAAGGCAATGAGAGGAATGGGGAAGGGCTGGGGCTCTGATTCCATCTGCACTGGCTTTCAAGATCTCCTCCTGGTGTGGGGCAGCCTATAGTTAGTCATGAGGTCCAACTCTTCCCACTGCATACTCAGCTCTACCGGGCCCCAGAAAACTTAGAAGTAAAAGCATTGGGTCAGATCTAGGCTAAAAAATGCCATCCTTGGGGGGACTGGAGCAAAGCCGTCATCTTGCCACACAGCACGCTTGTTCACCGGTCAGTGAAAGTCAGTGGACTGAAGAGATGAACCTCCAGAACTGTGTGCTGGTCTTTGATAGACTAAGTAGTAATGTTTTCCAGGCCCTTTCCTTGCATCAAGAAGAATCGGCCTCACCTACACGGTGAATGGGGCACCAAGGAGTGAACAGGATGTACTTTATTATCCTTCGGCCTACTCACCTTACCTCCCAGTGCCAAGTACCCATTTTGTTTGTGTAGTTTCTGAGCCCCAGATCTAAGCTCTAGAGCCACGGATGAAAGGTGGTTTATCATACTGGACCGATGACACCGCCATCTCTAGGAAAATACAGACAGTGTATGTAGTGTGACTTCCCCTGAAGCCCAGCCTAGCAACAGCTCGTGGACTTGCTTACCCTCGTGCCTCTTTCGCTATAGGGAAAGGTCATGCGAATACTGTACACAGGTTATTAAAAAAATACATTTGCTCTCTTTGAAGAAGAATGCACAAATGCAGGGCCAGCCAGTGCTGGGGTCCGGACTCTGGGGCTGCAGCCAGTGGCCTCTGTGGGTGAGGCCCGCCTTCATGAGTGCTGGCTGATGAGTCCCCGGAGCTGCTTGGCCACAGTGTCAATCAATTTCTGCTTGTCCCGCTCATTTTTCCGAAATTGTGCAAACATGTTGTTCTTGCGGCTAGTGTCCTTCATCCTAAACAGAGAAGGGAAGAAAGAGAGCAAAGTGTTTGAGGCAGCAATGGTGGCTAGTGTGTCTGAACCACCACCCGGAGTTGAGAGAGTCCAGAGCACTTCCACTGACAGGCGCATACTCACCTACTACTATTCACGACGCTGCCCTCCTGGCACCCAAAGGCCTCCCCACTTCAGTCACCTTTGGAGAACAGTCAAGAGCCGGCCAAGGCCAATTGCCTCCTCATCCATACCCACCCTACCTACTTCCTTCCCTTCTACGCCCAGGTATGCCTCTGTTGTAGGTATCTGGCACCTGCTGCAGCCCTGACGGTCAACAGACCTTAGAGAATGTCTAAGGTCTTCTCATCACCTCATAAACCTACTAAATCCTGCTGGGACCTTACAGCTGGTATTTGAAAGGTAAAGCAGAACGATGCTCTTAACTAGCAATTCCAAAAGAACATGAGTAACTGAAAGCCACTGTGCATTTCCTGCTCTACCTGGTTAGTCTATCCTACCGCTAACAAAACCAAGGGCTTGACTGATCTCTTTTCCTTTGCCTCGGGGTAGGGGCCCAGGGGCAGTGAGGTGGTAAGAGGGCATGGTGCTGAGGAAAGCAGGCGCCAAAAGACTGAGCCAACCGGGGCTTTAGGCAAGACAAGCCCCTAAGTTCTCAACGGCTGCTATGTCTTCAGATCTTGACCTTGGGAAAACTTTCTAACTGGCTCATGCTAAAACTCCAGGGACGGAATATTCCTAGAGCACAAACCATGGGCAGTTCTGGCCACCAGTTCCATGAGATGGAGAGACCTAACTGGGAAGCATGGATGGAGAAAGTCAAGGCCAGGCTGAGGTCGCCAGAGCAGCCCCCAAGCCCGACTAAGCCATTGTGACAGATCCCAGGAATCTGTTATTCCCCAAAAAGGGCCCACAGCCCCTGACATCTGTTGGTGATTGTTAACTCTGGCCCCAGCCTCTGCACACTGGACCTCCAGCCCACGGATAGTTCTAGTGGTAGAGAATGAAGGACACTGCCCAGACTCATTTCTCCTCGGGGTCAGGCTAGGCGGTTCCTCACCACCGTCCCCCAGGAACTTGGCCAGCTCTGACTTCACAGTCCCCTGGCCTTCACGGAGATAGGCTAGGAGAGGGGACGGAAGGAGCCTGGCACTGGGGAGTAAACTGCTCTCAGGCAGACTTCCCAGGGCCTTTGGCCAATCCTGGCCCATGTTTTTTTTTCTGTGGGGTGGCCATGTGCAGAGGGACAGACTAGAGGCCAGTCAAAAGGCCAGAGAGCCCATAAGGACATTTATATCCATATGGTAGGGAGGTTCTAATGAGCACCATTGCTTTATGGCTCTGGCTGACAGTGACAGCCACAAACGAATTGAGACTTCTCTCTCTGACCTAAGCTTTAGGGCTGTCAGCCTGGAATTACTCATCAAGCATGCTTAGACACTGTGAATAAGGTACGACCACCCACGTGTGGAGGCCTGTGCTTGGACGGGAGGAAGAAGGAGAGATGACAGAGGTTTAGAGGTTTAGGTTGTAAAGAAAGCACAAAGGTCCCCAAGGCTATGATGATTATGGTATTTGGTCCCTTAAACATTAACTGCACAATTATGTTTGTGGGACTGGCTTGATTTAGGATTATTTATCCCAGAGAACAGCTCCTTTACCTTTTCTGGATATACTATAAATCTAAATAAAACCAACACAAAGCAAAACAGAAAGAAACAATAAGGGAATAAAAACACTTCCTACCTTTATAAGACATTTAATTTAACATCCTATGTGATCATTAGTTTCATGACTCCTCAGAGCAGCCCAGAGATAGGCAGCCAGAGCTGGCTTTCAGCTCCCATAGGGAGGTTCCAGAAGTAAGGGAGGAGAGAGGGAAAAAGAGGGTGGTCTCTAGGCCCCAGAGGCCAGGATGTTTTAGCCATTAAGACCTGGAGTTGGGATTACTTGAAAGAGAAACTCAAGTGCCCTGAGGGCTGATGGTGGCATGCTGGTTTGTACCCTGGAACGCTCTAAAACCAGAGGAGAGCCCTCCCCACGCCCCACTGCATTCTGTAAGCCTAGGATCTGGATCTACTTTGGCTATGGCCACCTCTCAGTGAACAGGGCCCTCTTCTCTTTCCTGAAATGTCCTCATCAGGTCTTTGGGTCTTTCCATGTCTCACCCTGCTAAGAAGTGTCAGGTTGAAAAGGAGAGAGTGTCAAGGGGAAAGCAGGAATGGGTCAGGTAAAGGGATTGATTCCTATGAGGCTGGGAAATACAGATTTTAGTGACCTGGGTGGCCTTTGGCCCTGCTGTGTTTGGAAGGGAGGTTTTAAACCCTGCTGATCGCTCGGGCCAAGCACATGGCTTTATTACTGGCTAGGCCTCCAGAATGCTCCCGAGAGGCTGATTATTTTAGCCTATTGTTGATCCACAGGAAGTAGATGAGCCAGTACTTCTTGGATCTAGAGATTCTCAGGAACAGAGGAGTAAAGAACGGTGGAGAGGCAACGGGCCAAAGGGAATCCTAGAGCCCATTTAGACACATAATGAATATGACATCTAAGCACCAACTCAAAAGCCATTTCAGCCGGGTACTGAGAACTCTGGGATGAGGCCTTGCCTCTAATAAAGAGTCTTCGACAGGAGATCTTAAAGCCATGGGCCTCACCACTGGGAGGGAGGGGAGACTGCTGAGGAGCTCCCGTGTGTCAGTGCTGAATTGCCAGGGCTAGTCAGGGTTAGGCCCTGGACTAGCAAGGGTATTGTGTGTGCCAGGAAGGTGGCTGGGAACAACCCTTCATCTGGCACCGATGGGGGAAAATCCCTGTTACCACTCCCAGCCCCAAAGGAACTGGTAAGCCAAGGGTCACTCTAAGGACCAAGGAGAGAGGAGGCGGCCAGCCAGTTGGCACCAGGCTGGTTTAGTAGATTAGTATGTCAGGGTGGGGACAACTCACAGGGTAGGGATATTAGTGTAGTCATTAGTGTCAATGAGGAGACCGGAAGGACTTGCCTCAAAGCGATGGAAAAGGCCCAAGTGAATAATATACTTACTCTCTAGATATCCTAGGGAAGAAGGTCATTGGGAGAGAGAACCATGGGAAACAAAGTCAAAATGGAAACATCAGTCTCTGTCTTGATCTGGAGAAAGTCAACTCTGGGCTCTTGGTTTCTTGGCTCCAAACACACACCTCTGCCCCTCCCCTTCTCTCCCCTGTTATATTGCACAGTAGGAAGGTACACCTCAGCCTCTGCTTCTGTCTAAGGCTCTACTCTGGCCTCCTGGACTCTGATCCTTGCCTTGCTAGGATTTGAGACCTGCTTGGCTGGCTATATACGTAGACTTGCTACACTGTCGAGATGCAAGGCACTCTCCTAGGAAGCTGCTAAGAAGCCAGCTGTTACCTAGTTTGATGACAAGAAAAAGCTTCCCTTTTACATGGGTCTTAGTCTCTGGTCTGCCAGCTCTCAACTAGGTAAGCTAAAGCCAGAGCCAGGCTACAATGAATAGCAGATTCCAGCATCTGGGTGACTTATTGGTTAGTGAGATGCTCCGGACGTGGCTAACTCAATCTCAGTGGAAGCATCTCTCCGTCAGAGATGCTACAGCCCTGTAGCAGGACTTCTGCGGGCCAGTGACTGCCTAAGGCAAGAATTAGGCACCTCCAACACAGCTTTCTTGGGACAGTCAGCACAGTAAAGCTCAGTCTGGCAGAGGCGGGGCTTGGAGGGGCAGGTGAAGGTTTCAGTAATTTCAGGAGCTTCTCTGCTAGGAACCAGAAGCCATCTGTTCTGTGGGGCTGTCCTCTATCCATCATCATACTCCAGATGGCTGGGGCCAGGCTCACTCTGTTCACCAGGCTGAACTGAGCCCCAAACTAAGGCATCTTCCTTTCTCCTCTCGTCATCTCTAGGTAAGCTCTGAGGTAATGTCAGAGGCCAATTGACCCATACTTGCCCTAGCTTGTCAAGGCTCAGGAATTAAGAGGCCACAAGAGGAAGACTGGCCTGCCAAATCCAATGATGGAGACTGCTAAAAGCACCTATGGAGACTTTAAGAATGGGGCCTCTTTGCGGTCTTTTCAAGGTATTGGCAAAGAGAAAATTATCCTCTATACCAACCCGCCATCCCCATTTCCCCACCCCCCAACACAGACCACTGGATGGGTACTCACTTCTCAAGCAGGGTCAGAGCTGTCACAGGGTTTACCCGGAGGTACTTGCAGGTGGGCTGACCATAGTCAGCAAGGTAGGTTGACCAATCCCACTGGAGGAAGAGATCTAAAAGCTGTAAAATATCCAAACCCCCACCCCAGTAATTCATCAGACTGATAAGACAAATCAGGATCTCAGAACCCCCTAGCATCCTTCACTACCATCTATAGTAGACTTGAAGCATAAAATTTCAAACATAGTAAGAGAAAGAATGGCTACGGACTGTATCGCAATTAAGAAAATAAATGAGTAATCACTATAAGGCAGAGTCATCTCTTCCATAAGCACCGTCATGTTGCTAAGAGTACATGCTCTTAGCAGACAGCTCTCAGAGGCAGGCCTGTAATGAAACTAACATTGGACGGAATCAGAACACAAGGCTATTCTAATAATCACTCATTTGCTTAATAAATACTTGTGAAATGCCTTCCATGTGCCAAGCACCATTCTAGGAGTTCAGAATTCAACAATCAACAAAGGCGGATGTGTCCAGTGCCACATATGCAACTATATGAGCTTTCAGGTTGGAAGGTCTGGGTTCAAGTACGAGTTTCATGACTTGCTGCGTTGACTTTGCCCAAATTACTCCGTTGGTATAGCCACATGCACATGCCAGAAACAAACCAGACACGCAGACAACACAGAAACACTGAACCAAGGCATAAATGGGCCATGCAATATTTACATGAGGCAATATATTACACCTGTGTGGACACTGGCTGAACAGATGGAAACCTGTTAACTAAATACATTTTGTCAAAGGCTTTCTTTCCCAGCCAGCTTTAGCCTCAGGTATCACTCTAATAAATATTTTAAAATTGTAACTGAATAAAGCTAAAAAAGAAAAATGAAATCAGTGCCTTTCAAAGGTAGGGGTGATGAAAGGGAAGGTGCTAGCTCCCCTCTATAAACTTCTAGAGGGGTCACCATCCCAGACTCACATCATTACATAGAAGAAGGGCCTTCGAGCTGGCTTTCTAGCAATGAGATACATATAAGTGCTTTTGGACTCACGACATTTCTTTACTTCTCCCTTTCCAAGAGATAACAGTTGATGAAGATTGTAGATGGCTATCACTCCGTGCAGAACAAAGAGAGGCCTAGAGTCAATCCAATGCCAGAGCCTGGGCTCTTAGGCACACCTTCTTCCCTTGTCTGTCTTCACTGCCCAGCTGGGCAAATGGGCAGTATGGGCCTTGCCCTACTTGGCCAAGCTTCCTCTTCTATCCACTCTCTTAGAATGGCTGTTATGAACTTCCTCAGAAAGGATGGGAATTGGCTGAAGTCCCCAAAATTTTGCTTAAACAGAGAAAAGCCCCTACACCCTCAGCCAAGAAAGGGATGCTAAAGATGAGAGGAGAGGGGGAGAGAGACAGACACGTTGGTTGGCCTGGGTCAGCACGGCCCCAAAAGGCCCTCTCAGGTCTCTTTTAGGTCACGCCTATGTTAGTTGGCAAGTGAAAGGGCTTCTACCACTTCCTTTTGCTGTCCCCAGGCCTTGCAGAGCTCTCCTTTAGAAGAAATATTTCCTTGACTTCCTATTCTAATCTTAGTATTTCTATCCTATAGTGTCCAAAGACCCGTCAAGACAGTTTCTCCTAGGGAGCATGACAGACACTTGGAGTGTCCCTTGTTCTAAAGGTCGTCTACAAATATGATTACGCTTTTCCTCCAAATCCCAAGGAAAAAACTATGAAAAAGATAGCATTTTCTTAATTAAATTTTTTTCTCAGAAAATTTAAAAAAACTTTTACTGTTTGCATGCTAGGGAGCTAACAAAAGAAAGGTGAAAGAAAAACAAATAAGTTTAATTGGAAAAACATGAAAACATGATTTCTTAAAGCTATTTCAGGTATTACTTTTCAGATGTGGACATATACATGCATTTAATAAAACTACCTTCTCTACTATCGAATTCCTAATTTCAGTGATGGAATTAATGGTATCAGTATTTTCTGATTTACTGAAAAGAACGCCATGTCTTTTGGGGCTGATGAAGCCTGGGTAAATCACCAGTGGGGTGTGGAGAGCAGTTCATTACTCAGCTCTAAGTTTTCTATTTTTAAATTCTTGCTAAAGTCTCTCAATGCCAGTGCTGAGACTAAGAGCTCTGGGATGACAAGCTACCTAATTTATCCCACTCCAGGCATGGAAGCTACACAAACTCTATTAAGCTCAACCAGTATGAGCCTGTAGCTCACACTCTGCATCTGTGCTGCTTTCTACAGTTCTTTTCAGTGGCCTGTACCTAGGTCTGATGGCCTCCTCTGAGACAGATGGACACATACTAGAGTCTGGGTGGGACTTAACTAAGTGAACTGCCTTGGGGTGCAGTTCTACTGGATTCCTTAGAAACAGTGTTAGAATAAGAGAACAAGAAAACTGGCAGGCCTGTTTATCAATACAGCACTTTGGTCTCCAGACTATGACCTTCAAAGGTGAACCAGGCCCTCTCAGCCTAGTTCTCTGCATGCAATGGCCTTGTTAAATCTCAATAAAGTCTCTCTCAAGGATGCAGAACATTCAGTCATCACTAACGACCACATTCTTTTTTATTTTAAAAATTTTTCATTTGGAAGTAATTTTCAATTTATCAGAAAGCTCTAAGAATAGATGTAGTATAAGGAGCACCATATACCCTCCTCCCAGATCCATCCATTGTCAACATTTTACCCCATACGCTCCATCATTTGTGTTCTCTCTCTCTTTCTTTGCACACACAGTATCTCTTTTTGGAGTCTCTTGAGAGTAAATTACATATATCATGACCCTTTATCCCCAAATATTTCAGTGTTCCTAAGAATTAGGGCTATTCTCATACATAATCACAGTATGGTTTTTAACTTTAATAAATTTAATATTGATACTGTCCATACCCTAATTTTATAAATTGACCCAATAAAATCCTGCACAGCATTTTTGTTTATTTAGGATTAGGTATTACATTTAGTTATCTACTGAGCCTACTTTAATCTGGACTATTTCCACAGTCTGTCTCTTTCTTATATGATATTGACATTTTTGAAGGATGTCAACTCTTCAAAAGTTCCCTGTCTCCTTTTTCCCCCCTTAGTTTTGGTTTTTCTAATGCTTATAATAAGATATAAGACATGCATTTCGGGCCGGAATATTACATGTGATGTTATGTCCTCCTCAGGGCATCACATCTGGAGGTATACAATATACAGTGTTCATTTGTCTCTCATTGGTGATATTAATTTGGATCACCCAGTCAAGACGTTGTCTGATTTCTCCACCGTCTAGGTATTATATTTTCTTTTGCAACTAGGAAGCAATTGAGGAGACAATTTAAGACCATGTGAATATACTGCTCCTGGTTAAAATTTCCCCTTAGATTTAGCATCTATCGAGGATTCTTCTTCGCTTTGGTCTTTACTATGATGGTCTCACACTGATGACATTCCAATTCTATCCTTCCCTCCACGTTTATCAGTTGTCACTCAGCATTCTACCATAAGAAGTGCTCTCTCCTTCTCCCCCATTAATTTATCTATTTTATTATTGGTATGGATTCATGGGTTTCCATTTTTTCAATGGTTTATATTCATTACTATACCTAATTACTTTGATGCTCCAATTGTCCCAGGTTTGGCAAGTGGGAGATCTGTCAAGCTACAGCCTGTGTCCTTGTGACATGCCCCCATGATTTTTTTTTCCAGGACTTCCTTACTTTCTGTCATAATAAGGTGTTGCAGGTTCATCTTGTATCTACCATGCCCAGCTCTGAAATCAGCCATTTCTCTGAACAGCCCTGGTTTCTTTTAGTGGGAAGGTTATTAGAGATCAAGATTTGGGTGCTAGGTGTGCTCATTGCTACTTGGGGACAATCTATGGGGAGTTAAGCCCTCTCAGAGCACAGAGCTAGGAAATATATGCATATAATCCACATATACACACGCACACATATACACATACATGTGTACTTATATAAGCATGTATGCACACACATTTTAGAGATCATGAGTTTACACCAATACCTCCAACTCTAATCATTCTCACAGAGTTCTTTTTTGCCTTCCTCTATCCCATATATGCATGTGCTTTCTTCCACAGTGAGAATCCTGGCTCTCAACGACATCATCTCATTCACTAATTTGCTTAATCCTATAATATATCTAAAATCAGTTCAGAATTGTTTGTATATACCACTACAAAAAAAAAAAAGCCTGCTAAAAAGAGTTTGAGATTTGTTTGCAATTTCCTCTCCCAACTTGAGTGTGTATAATCAAAGCCTATGCTCATAAGCCACTTGGATTAGTCCTTTTTAAATTTTCCCTTCAGTTTGGTTATGGTATTCATCTAAATACAACTGGGTTCATTTGTTTCCATTTGCTTTTAGTTTTAGGCTCCTCCCTCCCATCCTTCTTAATTTTTTACATATGTAGGACATTAACATGCTTCCAAAAGTCAAAACAATACAAAAATGTTAACTCAGAAAAGTGTCACTCTTTCCTTTGTTGTATCCCTTTCACCCCAATTCCTACCATGCCTTATAGGTACCCAACTCCATTGTTTTTGGATTTGTCCTTCCTATGTTTCTATTTGTAAAGATATGCAGATACACGTATGCTTTCTTATTCCCTCCTCTTTCTTTCACAGAAAGTAGCATACTATATATGCATTTTAAGGCATCTTACTTCTTGATGTTTGTAAGTAGGTGGTGGATGGAGAAGAAAAAAGAGGAGCATCAAAGGTGGGAGACTGAACTTAAGATCACTATTCCTCAAACTTTACTATCACTTTTGCAGTTTTTACCACATCCTCATGCCACATGTGTTATTATTAACTTAACATTTTTGTTTGTATTGATTCATATTTTGGTCATAAAAATTTTGTAAACAATACTTTACATCATTTTCACAAATGGGAAACCATTCATACTTGTCAGAAATAGAAGATAACTCAAATACTAGCACCACAATGAGACGTTCCCTTTGGCATCACAAAGACTATAACATGATTTAGTGTTTAATGGTTATTATTTTGAAATAATTTTAGACTTACATACAGGTTGCAAAAATAGTTTAGACAGTTCCTCTATACCCTTCACCC